CGCAGACCAGCCCAGGACCTCCACATCCAGCATCTTTACCTCCAAGATCGTCTGAGACCAGTCACCCGGACAGCTGCTGCTACAGTCTGTTGGCATAACTAAAGAATTTCTGCACAAACTGTCAAAAACCGTCTCAGGGAAGCTCATCTGCATGCTCGTTGTCCTTATCTGGGTCTCAACCTGACTGCAGTTCGTCATCGTAACCACCCTGAGTTGGCAAATGCTCACATTTGATGGCGTCTGGCACTTTGGAGAGGTGTTCTCTTCACGGATGAATCCCTGTTTTCACTGTACAGGGCAGACAGCGTGTATGGCGTGAACGGTTTGCTGATGTCAACGTTGTGGATCAAGTGGCCCATGGTGGAGGTGGGATTATGGTTTGGGCAGGTATATGTTATGGACAACGAACACAGGTGCATTTTATTGATGGCATTTTCAATGCACAGAGATACTGTGACAAGATCCTCAGGCCCATGTTGCAAGGATCTATTCCTGGAACCTGAAAACATCCCAGGTCTTGCATGGCCAGCATACTCACCTGACATGTCACCCATTGAGCTTGTTTGGGATGCTCTGGATTGGCATATACGACAGCGTGTATCAGGTCCTGACAATATTCAGCAACTTTGCACAGCCATTAAAGAGGAGTGGACCAACATTCCACAGGCCACAATTAACAACCTGATCAACTCTATGCAAAGGAGATGTGTTGCACTGCGTGAGGCAAATGGTGGTCACACCAGATACTTCCCGGTTTCCAGGCCAATACAGTAAAACTGCACATTTTAGAGTGACCTTTAATTGTGGCCAGCCTAAGGCACACCTGTGCAATATGATGCTGTCTAATCAGCATCTTGATATGCCACACCTGTGAGGTGGATGGATTATCTCTGCAAAGGAGATGTGCTGACTAAAACAGATTTAGACAGATTTGTGAACAATATTTGAGAGAAATAGGCATTTTGTGTACATAGAAAAAGTCTTAGATCTTTGAGCTCAGCTCATGAAAAATAGGGGCAAAAACAAAAGTGTACCATTTATAATTTTGTTCAGTGTATAATTTGAAAAATAGGTAGCATGTTCAAAGGATAGTCCACCATACCTCATACTTCCCAACTTTGGGAGCTATGAAATTGGGACAGGTAGGCCTTCAAGGGGGCATTGCCCTTAAAGCAACTCGCATCACTGGACACGCAGACAGCCTATGTTGGGTGGCTACTTTGATTGATGCATTTTAATTTTACATTTGTAGCAATCGCTGCAAACATGCAGTTTCTTTGGACAGGAAGGGTAAACTGTCATAACAGACACAAGCAGTGGGGCTTTCATATACATTTTAGCATTCCTTATCCAATTTTTGTTAGCACAGTCAAGCATTCTAACTAAATGTTAGGATGAAGCCTATGGCCACCCTGAAGTGCATTTCACATTATCACAATGCAGGGATCTGGAGTGTCCTTGAATTTCTTATAATAAGAGATGGGGAACGTTGTGGACTGGGCTTTTCCCTCTTGTGGTAGACTTTAGGACTGCCAGGAACTCCCTCAGATAGATAGACGCCCAAGAATGTGCATATAACTTACTGGGCGCTTAACAATTACCCTGTCCACCCTACTTTCCACTGATTTTCTACCTTTCTCCCTTACCCCCTTCCTTTGAATTTGATAGCATCTGTATATTTAAACCAATCAATTAATGTGTTTTTTTTTAATATATAGCTTCTGACTTCTTTCTAAAACTTGTGTCCCCTTTGCTCCTTTACTTAATTTAATCTGGAAGGTCTCAGCAACATTTTTTGCTTGATGCACATTACCTATAAAATTACCACTTGTCACCTAAAAGCTCCTTAAATGGATTATCTGTAACAGCTTGAATTCATATCGATATTTGACCCTCTCCAATGTAGTCCTCTCTCAACATTCTACCAAAACAATTCTAACCAAAGTTAAAGAAATAATTGTAATCATAGCTAAATCCAAAGTTCACAATTATATACTAAATCTTGGTCTTTCAGTACTGGACCAAATGCTTCTTAATATTCTCCATAGGATTGGATTATAGTGTTGTTTCAAGGTCTCCTTTTCTGCTACACCCTACTTCTCTCTCTGTCAATGTTCCTGAAGGTTTTATTCTGGGATCTCTCTTATTCTCACTCCGCATTGCCTTTCCTCCTTCAAATACCCATTACCTAAGGAGTTTGTCCTCTTCCAAATACATATTAGCCCTTGTCAAAATCTCCTTCAGATTACCATCCAGATTACCAGACTATCATCAATTTGCCCCACACGCTTTATGCATCCAGTCAATCTCCATATTCTGTTAAGCTTAAAACCACAATTTTTATTCTCTGCTTTTCATAACTGGATGCTGGGTGTGGGTGACCCCTATCTCCCCATGAAAACAGGGTGCTTTACATTAAAACCAAAGTTAGCTATAACTACTTAGCAATGTCAAGTGTAGGCAGACAGAAAATGGCATACTAATAAATAATAATTAATTGATAAATATTTGAGTAGGGCCAAATGTTGCAAACGTACTAACAAAAAGGCTGTAAAATAGTGAGAATGTGTTAGCTAATTAGCACTTTTAACTTGCGTAAAGAGAATCATATTTTTTTCTTCCTCTTGTACTTCAGAGAAAATAGCAAGCTTGGACCTCAAAAAGTTGCTGTCCTTTACAAGTCACTGAAGATCTAAAGTTTCTAAACCATTCCTAAGGGAGTACTGAAAATCTGGCCTCTAAGTGCAATTCTGTTAAATAAAGTACAGTACCATGTATGTCAGCCAACTTTGAACAGAAAACTACAAAAACCTTCTCACAGGGGTTCCAAATGGCTTTGTCATCTGCCATTTCTATTAAATGAATCACTTTTAATATTCCTCAATCCCATCTATTTATTATTATCTATACTTAATAAACCTATGATAAATATAGCTGTAATTGCCAGAATGGAATTGTGTCCTTTGTCTTGTAATTCAGGTCTTGCTTGTTTTGTTTTTAAAAAAAAAAAAAAAAAAACTAACAACATAAAAAGGCAATAAATTATATAATTTAGAACAACAGTAAAAGCATACATGATGTGCAAATATAATACAAAAAGAGAAGAGAGGAAGGAGAAATAATTAACAGGCAGGAGATCTCTAAAAGGCAGAACGAGGAGATGGGCTGACTAGCTGCAGCACTGAATGGTGGCAATGAATGTGGCCTCTAGGATCAATTTGTGAATTTGTGCAATAGATGGATCTTTTTACCAAGGACAATTAAAGCTAAGCAAATACTGGCTATTGTGTGGTTTCACTTTGAATTTTCACTTTAGTAAATAAACCTATTTTTTTAATGTCAGGTAATGCATTTATTTTACATTGGTTTCCTTATGTTGATATTGCAGAAAAATGTTATTAAAACAAATAGTTAGAGTCTTAATTACAGCCTGGCAGTAGGTTTATTTTGGGTTAACGCATCGTGGAGAAAAAAAAGCCTCTTGATAATAGAAATACATGGAATACAATTAAAATGGGAACTGTCACTTCACTGCAGTTTGCACCATTGATGAAAATGTTGAAACTCACCTGTAATTTGTGTTTACAAATTTTGTTTTATTGCGCCTTTTCTTTGTTTAAATGTCTAGCAAATTACATCATAGTTCAGTTCGGACAAGGCAAAGCCTGAAGATGAAGATCATGCTTTCCCTATGCCAACAGGAAGCTAAGATGGAGATGCCTATTTGCAGGATAGAAAGGTGTGGATTTAAAAATTCTATTGAATCTTTTACACCTGACAAATACCGTATATACTCGAGTATAAGCCGAGTTTTTCAGCACATTTTTTGTGCTGAAAAACCCCAACTCGGCTTATACTCGAGTCACTGTCTGTATTATGGCAATTTCCATTGCCATAATACATACTGGGGGCTGGCAGAGCTGTTACTTACCTCTCCTGCAGCTCCTGTCAGCTCTCTCCTCCTCCGCGCCGGTCCGGTCAGCACCTCGGTCAGCTCCCAGTGTAAGTCTCGCGAGAGCCACGGGGTCATAGTGCGGCTCTCGCGAGACTTACAGTGTGAGCTGACAGAGGAGCTGCACGGACCGGCGCGGAGGAGGAGAGAGCTGACAAGAGCTGCAGGAGAGGTAAGTAACAGCTCTGCCAGCCCCTCTCCTCCCCCCACTGAACTGCCAATGCCACTGGACCACCAGGGAAGGAGAGCCCCCCTCCCTGCCATGTATCAAGCAGGGAGGGGGGATGAAAAATTAATAAATGAATAATAAAATAACATTAAAAATAATAATAAAATAAAAAATAACAACAAAATATTAATAAAACAAAAAAATTATTAAAATTATTTAATAAAAATAATAATAAAAATGCCCACCCCCCACCAAGGCTCTGCAACACACACACACACACATACTGCACACACACACTGCACTCATACACACACACACTGCACTCACACACACAGCACTCACACACACACACACTGCACTCATACACACACACACACTGCACTCATACACACACACACTGCACTCACACACACACACTGCACTCTCACACACTGCATTCATTCACACACACACTGCACTCACACACACACTGCATTCATTCACACACACTGCAGTCATACACTGCATTCATACACACACACACTGCATTCATACACACACACACTGCATTCATACACACACACACATACTGTACACACACACACTGCACTCACACACACACACACACTGCACACACACACACACAGCACTCATACACACACACACAGCACTCGCGCACACACACACACAGCACTCATACACACACACACTGCACTCAGCCCGCACACACACTGCACTCCACACACACACACACTGCACTCCACTGCACTCTCACACACTGCACTCATTCACACACACTCTGCACACTACACACACTGCATTCATTTCACACACACACTGCACTCACACACAATGCATTCATACACACACACACACTGCATTCATACACACACTGCACTCACACACACACTGCACTCACACACACACACACACTGCACTCATTATATACACACACACCGTAAATAAATATTCAATTAATATAATTTTTTTAGGATCTAATTTTATTTAGAAATTTACCAGTAGCTGCATTTCCCACCCTAGTCTTATACTCGAGTCAATACGTTTTCCCAGTTTTTTGGGGTAAAATTAGGGGCCTCGGCTTATATTCGGGTCGGCTTATACTCGAGTATATACGGTATATATTTGGTAAATATAGGGAGAAGTAAAAATAATGTTACAAGTCCTGTGAACTGACAGTTCCCCTTTAAGGTATTTTTGCTGTTTCATAATTATTTGAAGGGTGATTTTTGTACTTCCTCATAATTGTTTTGAGATTTTGTAACTGAAAACCATATTATTTCATAGTGCAAAACATATATTTGTAACTAGCTTATTGAAAAATGCAACATTTATAAATCTGTAGTCTTTTTGAAAAAAAAATCACAGTAAATTACATATACCAGTGTTGTCCAACTGTTTAATGTTTGCAGCATTTCTGAAGCATATGCTCTGAATTCACGATAGAATCAACTATGTTTACCAGTGCAGAGCATCTGTGCCTAAGTACCGTAACTACAAACTTTCTCTCTATCTCTCCTCACCTTGTATCAGTTGTATATAAACTATGTTGCTTAGCAACAATATCTCCACTATGTGCTTTGCATAATCTTAGCATTGTGCTTAAGAGCTTTGCATGTTTATACTTGGCAATGATATTGTACAGTAAAGTAAACGTGTTTGTTGGGAGCTGTGTAGTTTGGAGGTCACCAGGTAGACTTCTCACCCTTCTGGGTGCTGTTTGATGTGGTCCTCATTCTCTGATCCTTTACCAGAAACCTGGGAGCCTGAGGGTATTTGGTGGTATCTTAGATGTTTGTAGAACTGCACTCTTCTGGACAGAGATCTCGGTTGCCTCACTTGGAATCTGCTGAAGCCACTCTCCTAGTTTGGGGTGGTCCTATTACCAATAGGAGCTCTGCTACTTTTAATTTTTACATTTTTTTTTCTGACTCCTCTTTCAGCCTTTGGTATCTTTCCACTTTCTTATGTTATTTTATCTTGGTGTTATTGTCACTGGATATTGCTCCATCCACAGTCTTCCATTCCTCGCCATCACTGCAATGTCTGGTTGGTTGGACACTACTTGTTTTTTCCTTCTGGATCTGATAGTCCCACATGATTTTAGCCCTGTTATTCTCAACCAACATGATAGCATCTCTCATATCACCATTGGTGAAGACTTTTGCACACACAATCCAGGCAACTTGATTGTATTAATTAATGTATGCTGCCTCTGCTAACATCTTGATCCCATTCTTGCCATTGAGCTAGGACCTCTGTACTTGTCTAATTCTCTGGTGTAACTTGGATGTTACTGTCCTTGTTACCTCATCCTCATGGTTCTCATGTGTTTGTGGTATCCCTAAGTACGTGTAGCTATTGTCTATGTCTACTCTTTGGCCCTTTGACCGCTTCAATCCTGATCGTTGTTCCTCCTTTTTTAATCATTTGTCCAAACAGATCTGACTAAAATAAAATTGCCATATCCCTGCTGAATATCCTAGTTAGCTGGTTCAGTGAGTTGAAGGCCTTGACATAGAGCTTGATGTCATCCAGGTAGAGAAGGAAGCTGATGGTAGCTTCACTCGTGAACCTGTATGGACTCCTAATGATAACTTGACTGAGGGGAGTTAAGGACTTTGTTGAACAGCATAGGGGGTAGGGCATCACCATGGTATATGATAAGTTTGATATTTACTTGTGCTATTTTCCTGGAGTTGTCTTTTAGTGTTGTTCTCTATTTGCCCTTTGAGGTCTTGATGTTCCGTTTTGTTCAGTATCTATATAACCATATGCATTCCTGTATTTGTGTGGTCTTGAGTCATTGTTTTTTCATAGTTCTTTTGTAGACAATCTATGCACAGGTTATCTAGTCTTGTCTTGGGATCTTGTGTAATGACTCAGTCTACCACTAGCTGTTGTTTTGAGCCTTTGATGTTTTCAGATTCCTTTCGAAACCCACTTCATGCATTGACAATATGTCTCATTCTTTCCTTCCCTTCCTCTGTCCCATAGTATTTTTTCCTTCCTCCCCCCCTCCCCTGTCCCATAGTGGTTTTCCTCCCCCCCTCCCCTTGCCACATAGTGTTTCTTCTCCACTTGGTCCCCGGTAAGTCTTCTTCCTTTCTGGTAGTGTGGTCGGGCGGAGCAGACCGCGGTAGAGGAGCTTCAGTTTCCTGTACCCGACCGGACTGACAAGAAGTGCTCTCTCAGTGAGCACTTCCTATCAGTCCGGCCAGGTACAGGAAACAGAAGTTCCTGTACCGCGGTCCGTGCCTCCCGGCTACGCTACACTGAGTGACTGGCGTCCACCTCCTGCCGGTCACTCTGATCTTGCGCCCCTGGGCCGGTGAGCCATAAGGTGTTTCCGTTTGTGCCGCCTTATAGACACGCCGGTCCTGCATGGTGTCACCCCCTCCTCCCCCCCTGCCGTGATGCACCCTTGTTCGGTCTGCTCCTCTCGCATCTCCCTTGTGATGCCACTGGTGGGAGTCTGCTATTAGTGTTTGGTTCATAAATGCCGCTAGAGGTTCATTTGTTGTTAATTTCTTTATCCATTAGGTGTGGATGATGGCAGGCCCATGTCAGATATTCATGTTGGCACCTAATTGTTGTCTAATTCCTGCTGTGATTTTGACTGTTGTTGGCTCATTCCTGCTATGTTTTGGTTCTTTGAGAGTGCAATGCTTTACTTTTAGGTCTATGTAGCCACTAAGCCTTGGTGAAATGTATGAAATGTATTTTAGATGGTTCTCTGGTGAACAGGGAAATTATTCTCCTGGCCTGTAATTATCTGGCATATCTGCTTAGTCTGGTTGCTTGCCTTTTTCTAGAGTATCTCTCATGGAAGCCTCCTTGTATTATTGTCAAGGTAATATGCCCTAAACCACAGAATTTAGAATAACAAATACAGACTAATAGAATAGATGTATTATAGGACCTTAGCGTTGTCCAGCTTAATGTACAAATCAGAGAAATTATAATTCAAATAAATAAAGTGAAATTCAAGCCAAGGCCAGGGTAACAGAAAGTAGAGTAAACAAATAAGTAGCCCGGTTTAGGAAAACAGAATATCACGAAGACGTGTAAACTAGTTGTGTAAGGGTTACAGAAATACACAATTTCAAGAACTAGCCATGGTCAATACCAGAAATAACATAGGAATTAGGAACTAATAAACTAAACGTGTACTGGAAACAGAAACCACAACAGGGCACAGTGAATGGAGCCAAAGAACTTTAAATAGTGTTCGGTGTGATTTGTTTGGTCCACGCCACACCTTGTCTCAGGTACCGGAACTGATCCTTGCACTCTATACATCTGTGTAGCTGATCCAGCTTACTTACCTAATAAATATAGCTCCATTTACAGGAGATATGTAATGCTTTATTCATTCATTATCTATAGTACATGTCAGACTTGTACATTGACAGAGATGAAATCTCTTTTAGTCCTTTATTCAGAAAATAAATGCATTTGTGCACCCTTAAAGTTGGCTTGAAGTGAAACGTTTGATTTGTAACTAGTGATTATTTTAGCTCAATACTAGTCATTATCCCGCTTGGTGCTTTTGCATCATAGAGGCTCCAATACGTTAGATGTACACACAGAGACAATATGGAGTTTGTTCACTAAACTGTATATTTACATGTGAATTTTAAGATGCAGGCTAGAATACATTAGTTGATGGAATAACCAGATAATTTGGACTTCAGTTATCAGGATAAATAACCCTCAAAATGTTACAATCCAATATTGATTTCTCCTCATCAGTATATTGCCATGGAAGGGTAGCTGTAACTAAAGGTCAGTTTTGACTATTCTATCAAAGATTCACAGGTGTAGTGTTCACCCGGGTGTCACTGTCAGGCAGCAAGTTAGAAGTGAAACCTAACAAACATATCTATCATCTCTGTCCCTACTAGTATTATAGTCAAGGATCCAAATGCTGGACTCTCACAGGTGGCATATTGTCTTGGATAGACAGGAATTATATAAACCAGAAAAACTGGAACTGACAGGAGCTAAATAAAGCCAAACAAGATCATCCTATCATATATTCCCTTTGAAAGAGAAGAGCTCTACATATTTTGGGAAATACCAGTTTAGGGTAAGCTTTAGAGCTTCCTGCCATCCTGGAATTTTTCTATAGAGCATTTAGTACCAGAGAAAAATATTGCCAAACATTACACCTTGCTTGCATTTGTCCTTCTGAAGTGCTTTCTGCATTTGGGAATAATGTTACCTGTAGCTCTCTTTGTTCCAAATTGCTTTCTTCAAAAGTTACAAGGCACAGGTATGTTCATTATAAGTAGAAAACTAAACTAAAAGCTGTATCTCTCCCTTTGAACATTCAGACAACATGTAGTCTGCTTTGAGGCATTCAGACCTGAAATCTTTTTCCCCCCCAAAAAGAATGACATAAAAATGTAGGATTTGTTTTTTTAATTCAGATTTTAGCAGCTGCTTCAGTAAATTCCTCGGACAAAATTAGCTAAAGCAACGAACCTGTGTACTACTCCCTTCAGACATTTAACAAACCTACTGTAGAAAAATGCTTCCAGCAAATGCTGCTAAAACACATGGAATAACAGCTATTTTTATTGTTTGCAATGGTTATAAAATTTAGATTTAAAATACCATAAACATTGCATGCTTCAGGGACAAAATACTTTGAAAAAAATTAAACATGCGTATTCCAGAATGGCACTCTACTTTCATGGGAATGAGCTAGTTTAGTATTATGAACAAATAGAAATAGACAATAGCTTTTCAGCATCTCATCTTGACAATGAGAATAAGACCTCTTAATGTGATGATGTTTGCATTGACTTACATTACATTAAATTACAGATGGGTGAAACTGGGGTTTTTGAAATCCAAATTTTACCTCCAGTGCATGGCAAATACATGCCACAGAAATAATACTTATATACTAGCTTTTAAGATACGCCACAATGAATGTTGGTCTACCACCAGAGAGAGTCAGTTACAGAGAACATGTCCAAGACAGCGGCTATAACTGCCCTCAGTTTTGCTGGTCTCCGTGTCCAGGCCCTTCTGCCATTGCCTCCTCTATCCAGGCAGGTATTGACTTCTCTGCCTGTGCTGCTCCATGAGGGTAGGTGCCAATCCTTCTGCC